TCATATCTACCAGCCATCGCTGAGATTCAAAATTGGTTCTCCTCATTTGGGAGGCGAGCTTTTTATCCTGAGCTACTACTGATCTTTTATAATTATATTTTAAAACCATCGTTGAACAATTGACCCAATTTTAAATTTACGACTACTAATGTTTAACTCCATAGCCTTGTAATTTGAACCAATCCAAAAGACAATGAAACTCCTGAAGGACTTTACGAATCGACAGATTTAACGTGCATCAGTCACCATGCAAACACAGGGAATGTTCGGCCGGTTGGGGTCGAACACACGACCTTTTGGACATGAGCTCAGTGCCCTACTAACCAGGCTATCCTGGCTCCTTTAATCATTCTGGGGATTTTTCTGATTCAATAACTTATGTATTTGTTTTTAAGAAAAATGCGTTTCTGAGTTATGTCTAAAGAATAAAGTACTCACAGCAAGCATCCCTTGTGCACACAATATATATATATATATATATATATATATATACAGGGGTCTGTCTAGGTTTTTCTGAAAGGTACCTATTTTGTGAAAATTTAGACATAATTTGTGAAAAATTAAAAATTATATTAAAATATCAACACAAAAACATGGTAAAAATATAGATTTAATGTTTCTTAACGGATACAAAAACAAAATTTAAGGAAAAGTATTTTGTGAAGCTACCGTTTTTCTTAAAGTTGAATTTGTGAAACTACCGTTTTAAATAAAATTGAATTTGTGAAGGTACCGCTAAACGGTAGCAAATTTCGGCCTGGACAGACCCCTGATATATATATATATATAGTATTCTTTATTACCATTTAGGATTATCATGGTTAAGGTATTTACCCGGATCCCCTGTTTTAATTATATTATTCAAAAATTTTAAAAACTAAATTCGATATAATAGCTTTAAGTTATTTATTTTTAAGAGTGAAAAGTTAAACATAATATAATTCATGTTTTTCACTCTTTGAAGCAGAATAAATTAAACTACCATTGAAAATAGTTAGCTTCTTCACAGATTCTACAATGTATTTTTAGAAAATTGGGAGTACATCCTTCNAAAATAAACTGAAAATGGTAAAATATTAATAATAAAATAAACTAATTTTATAAAAATAATATTATAAATTATGAAAGCATTAAAAATTAAAAAAAAATTACTATAGATAATCATTAAAATAATTATTTTTATTCCCTACAAGCTCATGGTTCTGATTGAGGCTGGTTTCCAAAAGCCTTCTTGGCATTTGTTTGGAGACAATTCTTAGGGGTTGGGGGGTCAGGGCTCAAGAACCAGTTTTACTCTCCCCTCAACTAGAAGGAGAAGGGAGTGTTACTTCCGCGTCATTGTAAATAGTCTGAGAATAAAATAATAAAGAAAAGAGGATACCCTTTTACTACCCGCTAAACATTTTTATTTGGAAAAGTATGCATGGAATACGTAGAGTTAGTTTAAAATACATTATTATCAAAATGATAATATTATATCTAATAAAAAGAGATAAATTGATAACTGCCGAGATCTGTACTTGAGTATTAATAAAGCATGATTTCGTTAGAGAAAATTACTTGAATGTTTCTCATCTAGTTTTTATGATACATTTTACTTTGTATAAACTGCTTTACTTATTCTTTTGCTTTGTGAAGTACTTAAATCAAACACTTTTTAACCCAACTCATCAAAAATTCTTTAATTTGTACAAAGATTTCTGTTTTATTTGAAAACTATGTAGGCTCTGTGGTTCTTACTTCTTCTGTGTCGCAAATTATGGGATGCGTTAAAATTTTTGTAATAAAAATAAAATTAAGAAAATTAAAATGAAAGAAAATGTTTAATTTTCGGTTTTAAGGTTGACTACCGCAATAGTGTACTCGTTTTAGCAAATAAATGTTCGGCTTTTTCCTAATGAAACGAAGCAATGTGTTATAAAAAGCGAGACTAGCTTAACAGTTTTGTTTGCTTTTTTTTTTTTATCTATTTTCATCTACAAAATTAAAGTATCTATACCTGAATGCAGAAAAGTTTATAAAATTATTAATTTAAAGTTAAAGAAAATTAATTGTACTTAATTTTGAAATGATACTATTGAAACTCCAAGAGAATGTAGAAAACGACATTAAGATTTATTCGTCGTTAATCATGAAAAATACAGTTTTCACATTTTTCAATAACATCAGAAATATAAAACAAACCTTTGAATATACCTTTAGGATCACCATTAAATGCAAGTTAATTGTCCCCGGTTTAGTAAAACCCTTGCGCTCTTTAATTCTTAAGTAAAATATGGTCTGAAATATTCGGAGATGTAATTACTGTATACACGCTATATTACATAGTTACGTGAGTGAAAGAAAATTCAAAATGATATCGAGGCTGTAATATTTATTTACTGTTGGGGATACGCAGAAAGAAGATNAAGTAATGACTATATACACGCTATACATAGTTACGTGAGTGAAAGAAAATTCAAAATGATATCGAGGCTGTAATATTTATTTACTGTTGGGGATACGCAGAAAGAAGATTGAAAGACCCAAAACAATTTATACAAAATTATTGTTAGTTAGACTATTAATATTTATAATATAAATCTTTTCATAGAGCAGAGTAATGTTTTAAGGCATTCCTAATATGAAGGAATAAACGACAGTGTCATACATTATTTTAAATTTTATTTGATATTACCAATATTTGGAATGATGAGGAAATATGAATGGTGTAAAAATAATTAAATAAATAAGAGGAGTAACAAGGAACCACACTACCTCCGTTTTATACACCAAAAACAGTGAAAAAGTAATAAGTGTAGTTGCGTGATCTATTTTTGGCGCTCCCTTTAAATATTGAGTTTTGCCAAAAAGTGTAACCCGGACTTTCATGGTCGCTCAGTATATCTCCGCCCCCTATGTCCGCGCCTATTCCTCCCATTCTCCCACCCATAGCTCCTTCAATTTGACTTGTCTTTCAGCGTAGAAAGGGCCTTAAGACAAGAAAATGATTTCTTGGAATACTCCTGGAAATATTATCAACACATTTCGTTTTAACAGAAGTATGTTTAGTAATTAGAGTAGATTTTACAACCGTTTTATTAACTTAGTTAAAAACTTATTATAAACAAAATATTATATTTATATATATATTTAATATTTTGTTAAAAACATTAAACTTTTGTTTATTATTAATTATTTATTTAAAGAAATTATTTTACAAGTTAATAATAAATATTTTTAAAGTATACTTTAAATAATAAAATAAAATATTCAATACAAGGATTTTAAATCTTTTACATACTTACCAGTATAACAACATGAGGCTGATGTGACTTGATATATTTCAATAGATCAAAAAGTGGTTCATATGAAAATGTGTCAGAAGTTGCAAATGGACCAGCAGCTATTACAACACTTAAAGACTCTAGAAAAGTTACCTTAATTATTGAAACACAAAACTTAGTTACAGACACCATAGCTGCCAACATGGATAGGAAAAAATCCAATAGATTTTACCAAATAATATAAATTTCACGATAGCTGTTACATAATATTTTAAATATTTTTTATGTAGGAAATTTTTAGGATTTTCATTATCAAAACGAAATTTTTTTATTAGAACTAATAACGATAAAAGATCTGCAATATTTTCCATTTATGAACAGCATTAAATGAATTTGATATTTTTTTATTATTAACCTTTACTTTAACTTTTAATTTTAAAGATTTTTTATGAGAAGCAAATACAGATTTTTTTTAGGAATAGTTAATGCGAAAAGTTTTAAACTGATTACTATAAGCGAGTCTCGTTTCATGTATTAATATTCATTTAAATATTGAAGCAGGCATTAAGTTGTGTATTAATTCTATTCCAATAGGGACTTTTTTGTTGTTGTTGAAAATGTAATCAATTATAGGGAATTTTCCAAAAAATACAAAAATTTACTACTCCAGTAGAGCAGGAGAAAATGGCAAAATCCAGTATGCTTACACTATAGTAAAAACAAAAGATTAGTTAAATTTAAAAGATTTTGTCTAATTTACAACACTTTGCACGCATGCAAAGCTTTGAACTATTTAAAGCAGTAACATGCAACAGAAAAAAATTGCTCAAAAACTCGCAATTTTAAATCATTGGAATTTATGGTAGATTTTTCTTAGTATATTTAGCTAGCTTCAACAATTATTTTTAAATACTGTAAATTTAATTTGAAAATTTTGACAAAGTCCAATATAATTTCCCCTAAATATGATTAATAAGCAATTTTTTTGGTTCTGCTATAAATTGGAAAAAATATCATATTTATATTTAAGTGAGATATTATTGTCAATATAGGGAAGTTTCTCATTTATTTTCGTACGAAATAAGCTATAAAATCAAAAATGAAGTCAAAATCTTGTATAAACGAGAATGATTCTCCTGCAAAGGATAAAAACTTGACTGCTTAAAGATAATCGTAGATATTGTATTGCTAAAATGTTGAACAACTATAAAAGAATTTGACATGTTTACTTTCCAATGAATGACATGTATACAATTCAACTGTATTTTTTTCTAGAAATTCTAAATGTATTTTTTTGTTGCGAAAAATGAATATTTTATTTGCATATCTAAAAGAAAAAATGAAATAAAGGAATGCTATATATTAAATATTACCATACTAAAAATTAAGGAATGTTATATGTACAGAGTGCAAAAAATAAACACCCTGAATAACTTTGGATCTAATGATCAGATTTTCACCACTAGGACTAAAACTTGATGATTTATTTTAAGTTACGAAATCAAACACAAAAAGTGTAATTTCTCTGAATAAACACACCCTTTTTTTTGTTGATGAAATAGGGTCACAATACTTTGGTTACGAGAGAGAGATCATAAGTTTGGACCTCTTCAGGTAAATTTAACTTTTTTTGTATTCTTGATAACTTTAAATTGAATTTTAAAAATTTTGTACACAGTTATAAAATTTGTTTATGCAAAAATAATTCCATGCAAGACATAATGTTAAGAAAATATTTTTTATTGTTTTATATAATAATAGTCGAAAATCAATATGCTAATTAACAAGCCTCAAATATTCTAATTAATAAGTGCACACAATATTTTAAGTTATAAGATCAGATATAAAAACTTACCTTCTCTAAATAAACATCTGGTGGATTTGGGCATCTGACCCTCAAAATAAGGGAAGGGGGTAGTCGCAAATCTGGGAAATAGGGTCCCCATAGTTATTAAACATTGTTTTTTGCATGAAATTATCTCTGGATAAACGAATTTCATATTTCAGTGAAATAATTTTTCAATTCACTTAAAAATTAGAAATATGATGAAATACAAAAAAAGTAAAATTAACATTAAGGGGTCCAAACTTTTGACCTTACCAAACCTGACTTATATTTTGCGGGTCATGAATTCAAATCCATCGAAAAAAAGGTATTGTTTATTCAGAAAAAGTATGTTCTTCTGTCTGATTAAAATATCATCTGCACTAATTAATTAGCATATTTGTAGCCACACCCACAAAAATTGAGTTCTAGTACATGATTAGATCAGAAATTATTTAAGGGTGTCTTGTTTATTTTATTTTTTTGCACACTGTCCAATGTCAGACATCATAATATGCTCCACATAGACATACCATCCACAATCACAGGAAAGACCTTTACAACATCCCATAAAAATAAATACAGTTAATTGAAAATATTATTTAATACAGGAAATTTTTTAAATCCAATAAAAATAAAATTTTTGATTTTCACGACACTGTTTGAGTCATTGCATTATTCAATATATTTAGTATGTACTATTTAGTATGTACTATTTAGTATGTACTATTTAGTATGTACAAAAATATATTGTTTACACTAAAATATTAATTGCATTTTACACTGCATTAAAATTAAACATAATTTTTTTTGTACATATATTAAGTAAAATGGATTTAAAAGTGTAATTTGAAATGAAATTAAAAGTTTTACATCGATGCGAAGCTTACCGTTGCAGTTAGCCAAGTCAGGAGCTTTAGAGGAGACAGGTGGGTACAAGCCCTAAAAAAGATTTCAATTTTTACATTTATGCAATAACTAAATTCATTGCCATTATATTTCAAGTAGAAGAAGATGAAAATAAAAATACAAATCCTGATAACCCATGCCTACTTATAAATACACAATAAAGGGGGAGATCATATATTTTACCACCAACTGATTAAAAAAATGGCACAAATTATGGCAAGTTACAATAATTATGCACTTTTAAATATTTACAATATTTCATAAAAGTAATTACTTTTGAATATGCATTCTATTGTAGAATAGGTGGTTTTATATTTATTCTATTACCCTGGCTGGCTATTAACTTGGACAATTGAGAGAATTTTACACTAGAGAAAAACATAAATGCTGGAGAACTATGTTTTGCAAGTTTTTGTGTGATTTTAAATTCAAGTAAATTTTATGAAAACTAAGAAAGAATGTATTATTAGAAATAACAATAGAAAATAACGAGAAAACAGGATAATCTAAAGCAAAACTGTTAAATTTGTTGGGAATACTTTATTGTTTAAGATAAGATTATATCATATAGATCATTGATTCTCAACGAGGGCGATACCGCCCCCTGGGGGCGGTGGGACTATGCTGAGGGGCGGTGAACTTGTTTTGGGCAGTAGGGGGGCGTTGGGTATGTTTTGGGCGGTAGGGGGGCGTTGAGCATGTTTTGTCATTCAAATTTAATTTTAAAACTTGCAAATAAAATTATTAAATTAAGATTAATTTAATAAAAAAATTTATAATAAAGAAAAAAAGATTAAATTAATATAATAAATAAAGATTATCCTATACACTATTTGAAACAGCTATAAAACGAACTTATACGACACCTATTCTTCGATCCGAACCAACACAGCTCAGCGCAAAAGCCAGTAGTTTTTGCCTCTAACTCATTCAAGCCATTTGGTGGAAATTGCAGTACATGCGCTTTCAGTATGAATGTTTGATTGGACCCGTGTTTCTTATAATGGTTTTCGTTAGCTTTCTTGCTGTTTTTTTCCCCAATTTCGATTAGATCTCATAGTTTATTTGGCCAGGTACGTATGCGAATTAGTTCTTTATAGCATCATAAATTATTTATTAATTTTGAGAAATAGTTGATTTTCTTTCATCGTTTGTATTTTGCTGACACCAACAATGTCGGTTGCAAAAAAGAGATGTCATCAATACAGTATCACGTACTTGAAGTTGGGATTTGTTCAATTACTGTTGAACTCTCAATTACCTATGTGTTTACTTTGTAATAAAGTTTTATCTAATGAGGTAAGGAAATCTTATCGTTAGCAAGAGCATTTGCAAAAAACTAGATATAGATCTGTCATTTTTGACGAACGTCTTTTTTCACGTTTCTGAAGGCACCTTCGGTCTCAGGGTTACTAGTAACGTCATCACAAAAATGCGACGATGGTTTGATCGCTTCTTATAATATCTCAAAATTTATTGCTAAATCTGGGAAAGCTCAAACCATCGGAGTAGAGTTGATACTGCCGGTTGTCAAGGAAGTTTTAGAAACAGTTTCACATCATCCAATGTAATAAAAAACTATCCCATAAGCAATGATTCAGTGCGGCGTCAAAATGATGAGATGGGTGAAGATGTTGAAATTTCTTTATGCAAACTTTTGATGTCCAACGAATTTTCCCTTCAAGTTGATGAATCTACCTTGCAAGGTAATGCAGGCTTTATTGTAGGCATTGGTCCGGTTTGTAAAGGAAGGGTAAATTATTCAAGATATGCTTTTTGCAGGAAGCTTGATTGTAGATATCAAAGGTAAATCTATTTTTAGTACTGTCAAAGATTATTTTAAAGAGAAAAACATTCCTCTTGCGAATATTATGTCCATTGCCACTGATAGGCTCCTGCAATGGTGGGTCGAC